CAGAGATCCACCTGTCTCTGCCTCCTGAGTTCTGGGGTTAAAGGTGTGCGCCACCAATGCCTGGCTCGGCAGTTTCTTTACTATGTCCCCTTGCATACAAAAGGCACCCTGATGCCGCTACGGAGGGTCAAGCCAGAGCTGCAGGCCGGCAAGGTCCCCACCCAGGGATCCTCTGGGCTACCCACACCGTGCAGGGGGCACCACGGCATTTCCTCAAACTGCCAATTTCCTCCATAAAACAGACCTACAGCATCATGTCTAATGAAGAATGTCCACTAAACTGCCACACGCCCTCACCTAGTCCTAACACACAAGCAAGGCAGTGTTTCCTCCGACAGATGGCCAAGCCCAAGTTAGCGAGAAGAGCCTGGGCATATGGGGCAGCTTGACCCTGCCCTTGGACTTTCTCCAGACCCTGTGCTTGCTGCTCAGCTCCCATAAGGTCCTTGTCCTCCACCCCTTGCTCATGGGACTCTTAATCCCAGGGTTGTGGGTTCGTGCCCCACGTTGGGCACATTTGTCCCTTTTGATCAGAGCTGCTTATTGCGCTGTTGAGTCAACTAGGAACCAACAGAGGGAGTTCAGTGCCCCAGTCTCAGAGCAGGGTATCTTTTAGATGTCCGCAGAGGATTTCTGTCAAAGGCCTAGGCAGTCTTCATCTCACCTTTTGATTTTGGGGAGACAGTGGATGGTTGCTTGGGTGGGACTTGGTATGGGGATAGGGGGAGGTGGATAATTCAGCTAATTCCTGTTGTCCCATGGCCATGTCTGAGGTCCAGCCGAAGGCCTCTTCCCCATACCCTGCCTGCTGGCTGCATCCTGCTTAGAGGGTCCACTGCATGGGGCATTCCTGCTAAGAGATCTCTGGTGTGCTGTTTCAGCACACGACTGTGGGAGCTATGGAATCTTGCTCCCTTGTTACAGAGAGCAGGAGATGTGTGGCAGAGTCAAAGTTCCTGCGAGTCGACTGTGTGAAATTGTGAAGGTGAAGCTTCAGTTGCTATGGAGACCACAGGATATTGAAGATGCCAGAAATGCATGTCCACTGAGGAAACATTATGTGCAGAGTAGGGCTGACTCAAGAGAGAGAGATGGAGGGGTGAAGGCCATCCCAATCCTTCAGGAGCCCAGTTGATTTCACTAGGAACCCCAAGTGCCAGATTCCGAGCCACAGGATTCAGTGTTTGTTGTTTGCGATTGGGCTTTTGTTCTGATCATTCCTTGCTGTGCCCTGGTTCTCCCTATTTTGGATAGGCATGCTAACTCTGTGCCTTTATGTGTTAGAGGAATGTAACAATTCTTATTTTATAGGAACTCACATGGAAGAGATTGCTTTGAGCCTCAGATGAGACTTGAACTTTGGACTTTAAAAGGTGTTAAAATCATCAAAGACTAGGGGGGCTTTTGAGTTGAATTAAATGGTGGGTTTTGTGTGTTGTGACACAGTCATGTGGTTATGGAAGGTTATGATTTAGGTGATGCATCTTAGTGTCAACTTGACAAAGGAGAGGGGTGTGGGGGTGCCAGCCCGGCATGATTCTGAATCACATGGGAGACAAGCCTCCAGGCACACTTGTGATAGATTGTTTAGCCTCTGGGCATGACCGATATGCTAATTCTGGAGGGAGAAGCATGCTAAAAGTGGGCCTGGGTGCTGGAGTGTGTAAGAAAGAGAAGGTGAAATGGGCACAAGCACTCATCATCACTCTGCTTCCAGATGCTTCCAGCTCCCATGGCCTTGGCTTTCCCGCCAAGATGGACTGTGTCACTGAATCGTGAGCTGAAGGTGCCTCCCTTGAGTCACTTCTGTCAGCATACTTTATTCCAGGAGAAGAAACTAAGACAGTGCCACTCAGTCACTCACCGGGTAGGACCCAGCCCCCCAGAGCAAGGGAGAAAGACGGCCAAAGAGGCGGCGTGGGCAAACATCTAATGTGGAGGGAAGTGGCTGGGGTGTCACATCACATTGCTGTGCCAGTGCACCCGTGCCTGTCTGTCTGTCTGTCTGAGGAAAGCTGGCACATTTATCCGGAGCAAGCCACTGACCATCAGCAATGTCACCTGCCAGTGTCCTGTGCCCTTTTAAGTTGATGAGGGGCAATGGGCCTGGGAGCCCAGGGCAGGGATGGGTGAAGGTGGTGACATTTGGTAGAGCAGAAGACAGTGACTTATGGCCACCGTTGCACTTGTTCGCTCCAGCCTGTGTGTCTTGCTCAGTTTGGAGTGCATGCTCTTCGGGACTTCTGCTGGCTGTCCACCCGGCTTCCCTCTTACCATTCCTAGCCGCACTGACCCTATCATAGCCTCTGACCAACAAGCACCAGCCTTCACGTCTCCTGGTGCTGCTTCAACTCTCCTCGTTGAACTTCTGGTTGGTGTCCAGCTGAGCAAAGCTTGTTTCCCTGCTTGCTCACTGCTCTGTCCCCAGAGCCAAGCACACTGCCTGGCACACAGTGCTTGGTAGAAATCTGTCTGAAGAAAGGCCACCTTGCCCTGCAGGACTGGGCTTTCAGAGCGAGGAGTGTCTTGCACCTTATGCCCTGGTGCCCAGTATAGGGCCAGGCATGGAGGCTGTGACCAATGCCTACACTGATGATTTACACACAGAGGGTTCATAGGGTGCTGTGGAGTCTCATATTGGAAGCAAATGTCCAAACAAAGATGAAGAGAAATGGACCACAAGCAGCCAGACTGCTTCAAGGAATGAAAAGGGGGGCAGGCAGGTCTCACAACAGCTGACAGTGACAGGTGGCTGGTCAAAGAGGGCAAGAGGAGTGAACAGGGGTGGTTTGCCAGGCTTCAGCCCCAACCTCTAGCTCCAGGCTTCAGGCTAAGGTGCAGAAGCCCCTGAATCTTCCAGAACCTTCCTGTGGAGCTGTCCTTTTGTGTGGCTGTGGTTGTGGAGGCATGAAGAAGGGTTCCTGAGTCTGTGAGGAGTTGTCAGGCCCAAGGCGTTTCTAATTTGGCAGGCTGACAGGGTCTAGGGATGGAGTCTGCAGGAGAGGCCTGTGGTAACTGTTAGAGTGGGGCAGCGAGAGCCAACCCTAGGTTCCTCAGTGGGAGTGGCAGCCAGCAGCTGGAAGCGGGCATCTGGGAAGGTGGTCAGATGGGGCCCTGGGTATTCCTGACCCAGGAATGAGGACAGTAAATGCAATGCTAGAGGGGACAATGACTCACCAGGGACTCCAGCAGAAAGGCTTCTGTTCAGAAATGATTTCTGGATGCCCAGGAAACAGGGCTTCAGGGCCTGGGCTGTGGCTCAGCTTGGTCCCTAGAGGACTAACAGTGGCTCCTGCAGCCACCAGCCCTGGCAGCTCCTAGCTAGTCACTCAGCCCTGCCTTGCTCCCACATCCAGTTTTCCTCTCCAGAGGCAGCATCTCTCCCGAGTACATGCAAACCTGGAGTTAAGTCTGATCTGCAGGGTCTAGCCTCCACCCCCAAGCCTGACAGCTTTCTAGGGTGAAAGTTCCTTGACCCAGGCACCCCTCCCCGTGTCTCCACAACCACAGTCACAGCCACAGCCACAGCACAGGGACACTGCACAGGAAGGCTCTGGACAGGGGCTGCTGCACACCGTGGGCCCTCGGGGTGGTACCGGTTGGCCTCTGCAGAACTGCTCTGCGAAGCTGCATCTTCCTAAGCTTCCGGCTTCCCAGGTTTCATTGTTTACATCCCCCCCTTCCCTCTCCCCTCCCCTCCTTAAAGACCAAGGAGGGCTGGGCTACACACAGACCCAGGGGGTCTAGAGTTCCAGGAAGGTTTTTTGTTGTTGTTGATTTTGTTTTTCCGGGTGCAGAGGATGGAACTTGGGGCCCATAGAGTGCAGCGACTTTACATGGTAGGCAAAGCCTCTGCCACTGAGCTACATCGCCAGCGGACTTGGGCTTCTAATTTGTTATGACCTGAAGCCGGTCACTGCATCCCTGGGCACTCCAGTGTTTACTTTTGTGATCAGGGAGAAAGAGGTTGCAGTGGAGATTCAATGAGATGGGCCCAAGCGTTGCAGATGGGCACAGGGAAGGCAGCTTAGGTCACCTCACTGGATCTCAGCCTGCACATAGCCTGGCCTTCCCCTTAGAGGAAGTGCTAATTGTTGCTGAGAGCTTCTGCACTTTAAAGCTTCGATGGAAACCAGTGTGGGAAATGGTGTGGGGGGCCAAGGACCAAGCCCTGGCCTACCCCAACTTCCATGGCTTTGGTGAGGAAGCAGGAGCCCCCCTCAAGGACAAAGCCACAAAACAGCTAAGGCGAGGAAGCATGCCTTAGGGCTTGGCATTCTACATGGTCTTGGAACAAATCTGAGCAGTGGGTTAGAAAACAGCTGGATTCTTAGCACTGAAGATCTGTGTGACAGGAAGGACGGCCATATACAAGGGAGGCATTTGCGAGCAGCTGGAAGTGGGTTCAAGAACCTCTCTCTCTCTCTCTCTCTCTCTCTCTCTCTCTCTCTCTCTCTCTCTCACACACACACACACACACACACACACACACACACACGGAGGGAGCAAAGGAGGGAGGGGGATCCATTTGTCCGTGCTTCTTTAGTGCTAGGGTTAAAGATTTACACCATTACCTGGTCCAATTCTCTATTATCTTTGTGCCCTCCCATCTCAAGAAGTCAAGGAGCCACGCAGTGTTGACAAAGATGAGTGATCCATGGAAAGGAGACCCCATGCCGCTCCTCAGGATTCATTCTGGGCTATCCTCACAGGCACACCCTGAGCCAAGGGCAGGACACAGATGGCCAGGCTGTGCATTTTCTGTTTCACCCATGACTCTTGGGGTGCCTTACCAGAGTTGAAATGTAGCAGGGAAGGCACCAAAATGCTCCCTCCCCGCAGCCTAGGGCAGGTCCAGAGATGTACACACAGCAAACTCTCCTCATTGGTTTGTTATGTCTGTATAGCAAGCCCAGACACTTATGTGTCTTTGGTCCTCTGGCTTTGGTATTGTTCTATTAACCCCCTTTTCTGAATGAGACTGCTCACTGCTTTCTGTACAGCATGAATTAAATATATTCTCTGTCTTTCCTCTGAGTCACAGGACATTCACAGTCAGTGGGGAAGGGGGTCAGGGAGAACCCAGGTTCCAAGGGGTTGGGATGGGGGTGGGGCCTGTGGAGAAAACATGGGCTTGACCTCCCCTTGGCCTTTGCCCTTCAAGTTCAGCCAAGTCTTGGGGAGACCCTGGAACATGAGAGGGGTGCTGAGGAAGGGTACCTTTCCAGGTTAGACTACGGTGCCAGCACCCTTACTCTCTGGAGGCTGGTGCCAGGGTCAGGTAGACAGGAAGGAGGCAGGGCATGGGGGAGAGCTGCCACCAGCCCCAAAGAGCCAAGGCCACCTTGGTACCAGTGTCAGGGTGACCTTTCGTATCTAGGTGCCAGCCTCAGGACCTTGAGACAGGGTTGACTTATCATCCCTCAGGGCTGATAACACCCATGCGAGTGGCTTAGGGGGAAAGGGACACAGGCCAAAGCTCCAAGAACAGTGTGCGCACTCTACCACCTGCCAGTTTAAGGCAACCCTTTCCAGACTGGGGGATGGGTAGGGGGATGGCTGAGGCGGCAGGAGCACACAGCTGGGCGTACCAGACCACTTCCAGGTGCAGTTGGGCAGGGGCAGCATGCTGGTGCTTTTTAGCCTTGGTTCAAGCCAGAGTGTGCAAGGGCTTCTGGCATTGAGGGGCAAAAGCATGTTGGGGATGGTGACTAGAGGGGGTACTATTTTTTTTTTTTTTGGATGCTCCAGGGATGTCTGCCTTTGGGTGGGGTTAGCACATACATCGGCACAATTCCAGGGCCCCAGTGCCTTGTTCCTGGAATATTCCTTGTTCTTGGAGGGAATGAAGGTAAAGCGAATGTCCAAAGGTTAAGAAAGGGGCTGTCAAGCTGATGAGCCAGGCAAGCCCAGGGTCCCCAAGTTCCCCCTGCACTCCAGCTGGGAAAGGGTCCCATGTCCCTCTTTGGCCCTCACTTCCTCTCAGGGAAGCAGCTCATGCTCCATCCCACAGTGGGTGACAAAGGGGTTGGTGTCCAGGTAGAGGCCATCACAGAGGTGTGTGGCAAGCAAGGAAAGGAAGCAACTGCTACCACCAGGGCTGCTAAGTGGTCCTCCAAATTGGCCACAGGCGTTCATTGTTCAGCCCTCTGATGGCCACACAGGCCCCATATTTCCTGAACTCATTCATGTTCCGTGTGGCCTCTTGTCCCTTGAGTTGCAGCAGGGTGGACGCAGCTCAGAAGATGCTCTGCCGCCGGTTCTTCCCCCGCCCTGGAGAACGGACGGGGACAGCAAATAATGGGGGGATAGGAAAGGGACTAAAGGGACGCTTGTCCTTCACACGCTCTGATCCAGTGAGCAAGGGCATGCACTTGGATTCAAGTCTCTGTTGCTTGTGAGCTGTGTGAAATTGAGACTTAACTTCTAGAGGCCTCAGTTTCACTGAAGTGGAGAACATTCTAGTGCCAGCTCCATGAGGTGTTTTAAAGATTATATGAGACAAAGCATGAGAACTGCTCTCAGTCCAAGACCATTGGCTGTGCTAGGGCCAAAGTTTGGACTGGCCAGGAGCTCAGGGTCTTCATAGAGAGCACTCCTGGGACAGGGTACACCTTGCCAGGGTTACTGTAAAAGGCAGTGTTCCATTTGGGTGGAGATGGGTGAGGGAGGAACTTCCCATAAGGTATTATGGGGAGGGGGTGTTGACTCCCTATCCTAAGGGTAGACTGCTGGGACCATCTCTTTCTTAAAGGAGCCCCCCACCCTGGGGAAGGGTGGTCTACTTGGCTACTTCTAGCAAAGGGTATAGGGAGAGCATATGGCCCTACCTGGGTGCTGGAAGGCCAGGCCACGATAGCCTGGGTCCTTTTGGAGCTGGATCTCTTTCAGGGAGAAGATGGAGGCAGCTGGGCAAGAGAAAAGGGTAGGGGAGGCCTCAGTGGAGTCATTCTGCTTGTTCCTGTACCTACTCTCCCCACTTCCACTGAATCTACAGAGCCAAGGCACCCTCCAGTAAAGACTCAGTTCTCCAAAGGAAAACTGTGAAGGAGAAGCCATGTGTTCAAGACCATTTGCCTGGACTCAAGGGTCCAGCCTCTGTTATAGCCCCCACCTGTATTTGCCGCCCTCCTTGTTCTGGCTTTCCCTCATCCCTTGGACACTTACTGTCATCAAGCTGGTGTATACGCTCTCCCAGAGACTGGAAGTAGGGGTGACTTAGGGCTGCCTCTGCTGACATGCGACTCTTGGATTCGTACTGAAAGGCACAGGGTAGGCTCTTGGCCCCTGATGGAGAACCTTCTAGAAAATGGGACTCCTACCCTAAGTTAGATGACCAAGGTGGAAGAAGCCCTCATCTGGCCCAAATCAGGCAACCTCAGGTCTTAGGATACCAGGTTTCAGACGCCAGAGGAAACCTGAAATGGGGCTACAAGGGAGAGTGGCTGCTTTTTGGGATGGGCACACAGGAGAAGGCCATGGCAGTCATCACCTGAGAGAGTATCGGCGCTATTTGCAGATAGCATGTTAACTACCCTTTATCCTGTGCTTGCTCCCAGGTGGGTGCTGCGCCATCCCCATAATCTTGGTGTATCCCCAGCATCTTCTAAGGATGGACTGATACCCGACATGCAGTTGAGAAAACTGAGCCTCCCATCTTCAGGAAGTGCCCAACCAGGCCTTAGGTGCCAAGCACAGAGATTAGTGTCCCTCCTGGGCTTTGGAGTCACAGGTAGTATCTGAGCTCCCAGCCTGGCTTTCTTTAGTTGTCTCTCCCTGGGTAGGATGGGAGGAAACTCACCAGGAGGAGGCTGGTCAGGAGGTTGATGCCTTCAGTATCCAACCTGCAAGGAGGAGGCGCTGGCACAGGCGCAGCCAGGGGCAGGCTGGGGACCCGAACCTCTGGGAGGGAGATCACAGTGCGGGGAGAGGGGCCTGGCAAGGGACTACCTGGGAGCGTGGCTGAGCAGCGGCTGTGGCAGGTACCGGGGGAAGTTGTAGGCTCGAAACTCAGGGAGGGACATCACACCCGGCCACGTCTCTTCGGTAGGAGTCCCTGGGAACACAGGACCGGTAAGAAGCATGAGTGAGGGGACAAGGCTGATATGGCGAGGGTGCAACGTTGAAGGAGACAGCAAAGAGTAGCCAAAGCTAGCTGGTCTCCACCCAACCCAGTCCTCCGTGCTCCTGAGTGGACAGAATTCTGGCGCCCCCTGGAGGCAAGGTGGGGGTACAGAAGGAAACTAACCCAGGAGACGGAAGATGAGGTGCAATTCTTCCTTGACGGTAGAGCCTGGAAAGAGGGGCTTCCCGGTAGCCATCTCATACAGGATGCAGCCCACGCCCCTGGGGAAGCAAGGGCAGCGGTGAGATCAGGAAGCACGACAACCCCTCATAAGGCTTCTGTGTGAGGGACCCAATGGCATCCTAACAAGTCTGAGAGGTCACATCTGGGACTTGAAAGGCTCCTAGAACCAACCAGACTCCCACTATGGTCCCTCTCTGTGAGCCCTGGGTCCCCTTAACTCTGCTAGGCAGAAAGGCAAGTGGATTTTCTCACTCCCTGGGGAAGCCTTGGGCTTGGCCAGAAACCTGTGCTGACTTTCAAGGTGAGCTGATTTTCATTTTACACTAAATTATACATTTGCCAATTTTAACAATAAAATGGTATGTCTCTCCCAAGATGTTCCGAGGGAAGACTCATCTACCCTCTGGCAATTCCCACCTCCACCCCTGGGGAAGCATGTCAGAAGTACAGCATTCGAGGGTCTGGAAGCTCGGAGGGCCTGATGCAGTTCAGACTCAATTTGCTAGCGGCAGCACAGCAGGGATCAGCGGAACTCTGAACAAGGTCAGGGACTTCCTGGACAGGGTCTAAGGATGTGGACAGTCTATCCAACTCCCCTCTACTGCTCACTCACCACATGTCAATGGGGGTGGAGTACTCTGTGGATCCCAGCAGCACATCTGGGGGCCTGTACCAGAGAGTCACCACTTCATTGGAATACGTCTTTGTGGGCACTGATTTGGCCCGGGCCAGGCCTACGAACAGACATGTCGCTGAACCTCCACTAAAGGGTCCTGAAGAGCCAGGTATTCAGGCATCCCTCAGAGGCCCTACATCCTGAGGAGGCTGTGCACGCCAGGGGTCAGACCCACATGCCAACCCTGACACCAGCCTCACCAAAGTCAGCCAGCTTCAGCTCGCCCCTCTCATTGATGAGTAGGTTCTGGGGCTTCAGGTCCCGGTGAAGGATCTTGCGGCGGTGGCAGTAGGCCAGGCCCCGGAGCAGCTGGAACATGAAAATCTGGAGAAGAGAGAAAAGGACCAGGTCCCATGTGGGAGGCTCTACACCTCTGCCTCGGCCTGGAGAGGAATGGGGGTTCCTCTCCACAAGTCTCTAGGAAGACTCACTGTAGGGGAAGCTGTAGCCACGCCTTCTTAGGGGCTAGCTACTTTTCCCTATTAAATACCCTTATATTTCTACCTGACTCCGTATTGATAATTGCCTACTATAACTCACTGGTTCTGTTGGCTACACTGCAGGCCACCTGGGACCTGTGCACACCAGGGAATCACACATGGAGACGAGGCCAGGCATGGAGAGGAGGCAGTGAGTGTGAGGGGCTGGCGAGGTCTCTAGATGTGAAACAGGGGAGCACAGTGAATAGGGGTCCCATCGGTGGGCTTGTATGTGCTTGGCTACTAATCACTAGAGCTGGTCATTCACCCTCCTCAATTCTCAGAAGCCCCCTTCAAGCAGGCAGGTAACTCAGGCTTAGTGTTCAGAATTAAGAGAGAGACAGAGATCTGTATCGGTAGCTAGAAAGAAGTGGAGTGTAAGCCTGTTCTTGGCTGGGGTGCTCAGAATGGCTTCTAGACTAGCCGACTGGCTTCTCCCTCCTTCCTGCATTTGAAGCTCTGAGCAACCTCAGCAGCTGGAGGCAAGAGGAGCATCCCACACTGGGCTTGGTGACAGAGGAGTACTGCCATGTGATGTCCCTACCTTAGAGGCCCTCACCTTCACATTGTGCATGCTCATGAGGTTTCCACAGTGGTCTAGATACTGTTTCAGGTCACTGTCCTGGAACAGACAGTCAGGTTCAGTCCTGCCCCCTGCCTGGCCAGTGGTCCAAACCCAGGCTGGAAAGAAGCCCTCTTCAGTCAGGGCCCATGCCTGATGGCAGTGCAGGGCCCGGGCTCTGAACCCTTGGCCCACTTCCACCTGGGGACTTAATTGGCAAACAAAGGCTTGGGTCCTTCCCTTGCCCCATCCCTCCTAGGCCCTCACTCCCTCTCTTCCCTTCCCCATTTCACCCCCCACAGGGGAAGAGGCTGCCAGCCCCAGCCCAGCTCACCAGGTACTCAAACACCAGGGTGAGGGACCGATCTGTGTGAATGAGGTCATGCAGGGTCACGATATTGGCGTGTTTCAGGTCCTTCAGCAGAGACACTGGGGGAGACAGGCCCACCTGGGTCCCAAGGCCCACCAATGCCTCCCACTATCCTTTCCTGGGCTCCATCCAGCAATGGCCCTCCACCCAGGCTCCCACCAGGTGAGGGTTGTTGAGACCACCCTCCCAGAGGCCCAGGATGCAGACCCAGACATTGTACCCTCTCGAATAGCAGTACAGGGCGCCCCCTCCTCATGCTCCAGACGGATCTCCTTCAGGGCCACGAGGTTCTCTGTCAGCTTGCTGCGGCCCTTGAATACGGTGGCATAGGTACCCTGGGACAGAGTACCACTGGTCAGCCCCAGGAGTACTGCTCTCTTCCCAGCTCTACCCCTTATTGTTTCTGCCTGGTTAGGATTCAAGATGGGTGCCCTATTCCCTCTCCAAATTCTGGTTGTTCCAAAGTCTGCTTTCTCTTAGTGTATCTCCATCAGCTCCCTGGCAGGAACAGACTGCCCATCCCTCTGTTCCGATACTGGCTGCCCCTCTGTTATTGTAACGTAGCCTTGCTCTTACATCACAGTGATATGGCTCTTAAGAGACAGGGCCCTCTTCCCCTTTATAAATATATACCCACTCCAGGCCACAAAGCCTGCCACACTCATGCAGAAGCAGTTGAGTAACAGTGTCCTCGCTGTGTGCCAGACACCAGGAACTTATACACTAGCTTCCTCTGGCACTCTGCAATCCCCCCAACAGTAAAATAATTACTTTCATGCTTCGATAGAGAACGAAACTGAGGCAAGAAGAGAGGCCATGGATGGGTAAGTCATGGGGCTAGCAAATGACAGAACTGGGGTTCAAATCTAGGCCATAACTACTTGAAAGGGGGAAAAGACTAGATTCTGTCCAGAGACCTCTGCCCTCTAGGCCTCATTCAAGATCAGGGGACATGTAAACAGTTGCCGGAGGCTAGGCCGGGCTGCGTGGCCAAGACAGTATGACTCTGAGGGTCAGGAGCTGTGAGGGGCAGAACGAAGCCAAAACTATCCTACCTGCTGTCCGGAGAGAACGACGCTGGTCTCTTACCTCTCCAAGTTTGTCCAGTTTCACATAAGTTTCCAGTTTCCCAAAACCGATATCTGACTGGAAAGCAGACAGGAGACTGTGAGAGACGAAGCCGCAGCGTCTTTCTAGTCCATGTTCCCTCAGGAGGGAGGGAAGTGAGACACCCCCATTGTACAGAGAGGATCCAAGGCTACGAGCTCAAGGGAAGACGGTCAAAGCCTCCTTTTTCTTCTCCCCTTCATCCTTATGAGAGCTGAAGGACCTGCTTCAATGGGGGCTTCTTCCTCCATGAGTTGGAGATAGACACACTGAGCTGCATTGCCTCTCTGCCTGCCTGGCTCTCTTACTCAATAGGTTACTGACTCTGGAGGGGGGAGGTCTGTCATTCTCCACTAGGTGGAGTTAACTTCAGACCCCTTTCCAAGTCTCTCATCAGTTCATCTCTTCTAGCTCAGGACAGGACATGTATTAATAAGACAGAGAGCTCTGAGACCCATTCACCAAGCAGCTCCTTGGATCTCCTCACAGGAAGCTGGGACCTGGAGGAATGTGATGGGTTAGTTCTGATGGGTTAGTCTTTTTGTTTGTTTCTTTGTTGTTGTTTTATTGGGAAGGTCTTCGTTTTTATTAAGCATCACATAAGGTATGTGTGCTATATAACCGATTTCATGGCCTTCTAGCAGGAACAGATGGCCATAGCTGAGTCTGTTTGTTTGTTTTTCTCATCAGCCAGGAAAATGCTTCCTTATCCAATGTTCTTCAAGCCCCTGAACACACCGTAGTGACTAGCTCCACAGATGGGCCTATCTCTTTCCATCAAAGACCACTGGTGAGGAAGGGGCAATTCTTTGGTCTTTGTTCCCATCAGTGCATGAGTGAACTTGTGGTGTACACAATGGCTATTTGGGGATAACTAAGCTCATGCCCACGACGGTGAGGCCAGGGAGAGTCATGAACTATGTCTCTACACAGTGAAACACAACCTGAACCCTATCTGACTCATGGTTTTGTTTTTTTAAGACATAGTATACCCTTGGGTGTCTGGAACTATGTAGCACAGGCTGGCCTTGAATTCTTGGCACTCCTTCTGCATCAGTTTCCCAAGGAATGCTGGGAGTACAGACACGAGTCACAACACTGGTTTATTGGTCTTAATCTGGGAGACCCTGGGTCCTACTTAGCTCCATACCAGTTGTGTCGTTGACATAGGGAGACTATTTATTGGAATCTGCATAGGCCAGCAGGTGGCGCCAGAGGCATGGGAATCTTTCTGGAAACCACTCTAGGCCTCAGCTGGTCATCCCAGTTTGAGCTCTTCCCATACTGGTGTCTTGCACTCAGCAAAACCTGACCCTCTTTGGACTCACCAGGGAGGCACGACGGGACATTCTGGTGAGTGGCTTGGGCAGCCCTGGGCTCTCCAGCTGTAGCTTCTGCAGGAATTCCTGGGGCAGGCGGATATCCATGGGCAAAGAGAGCCTCTTGTTGAGGTCCTGATGTGGCAGATGGGAGGGAAACACCATGTTGGCCCTAGGAGGCCCTTGCCTCTCCCTTTGGATTTATCTGTACATATAGAGCAGGACCAAGCCAGTCTGTGACCTCAGGCTCACAGCTACTGGAAATGTATACATATGTGAACCCACAAGGATTACGGTGTGATCTTTAGGAGGTTCCTTCCCCTCTCTGGGCCACAGTAGCACTGACTGTAGAACATAAATCTCATCCTCTCACAATGCAATTTTGTAAGCACATTTTTCCTATAATTGGCAAAGGTGCATGGGTCATAAGAACAGTCAAGCTGTCTGGCCAGGAATGTTCTAGCACTTGGCATATATTCTCACGCAATTCCCACAACAACCTATTCCGATTTGAGCCCTCAGTGACTGGATCTATAGGAACCACCCTGCTGTGGATGTGCCTGCCCTTTGAAGCCTGGAGGGGCACCCTCACCTCCATGGAGAAGCGGCGCTGGCTCTGCCGTTGCGGATACTGCATGCCCGGGGACAGCTGCCCGGGCTCGTCCCCACCATCTGTGGGGGAGAACATGCTTGGTTTCAGCCCACAGGACTGAGTGGCATGTCTGAGTGGGACAGGTGTCAGTTCCTACCTCTCCCACTCTGCCGTCTGTCGACAGCCCAGGGCACCCCACCCCCATCTCCCTAATATTTCCAGGCGGCTAGTCAGCAGGGCTCACAGGAATCTGGTGGGAAAGAGTGAGGTGGCCTGACCCTCACCCTCATTCCTCTGGGTGTGGAGCTGGTTGAACTGCTCAGTGAACTCAGCCAAGGATTCCTCAATGGTCTCTGGGCGGGGCACGGACAGGGAAAGCCTTCGCTTGAAGTTCTTCATCATGTTCGTGATCAGCAGGGCTCTGTTGTCTTGTGGGTCCTGGGCAGAGACGAGAGGACAAGGCAGTGTGGTCACTCTGGATCCAGGGGAGCCAGGCTCTGCACATGGCACACGTTAGGTCATCCTGACCAAGCACCTCAGATCTAACCCTGATCCTTTCTCCAGTGACTCTCAGCTACCTTCTGTCCATGAATGCTCCCTCCCCTGCCATCACAGTATCCATGGGTATCACTACTGGTTTGCAAGAGGCCACTCCAGACATTCAGCCTTCAGCTGGGGTGTCTGGAGATCTCTGACACAGAATCCTGGGACTAGATGGCCCTCAGGCCATTGGCTCTTTCTGAAAGATCCTAACTGGTTGGTGCCCACTTGTCAATAGGTTTCGATCTCCGTGAGACCGGAAATGGATACTAGAATGTGCCCTCTCTCATCCTGGACCCTTAGGAAGGAGATCAAGCAAGCGAGAGCAAGTGCATGTCCCAGCCCAATCCCTGCTCCAGCTGCAGTGGGCAAGTCAGGAGCAGCACGGGAAACTCAGGCAGCCCAGGAAAAGGGAAGCCTGAGCTGCTTGCCCTTCCCTCTCCTCAGATCTCAGAGCAGGCCTGGATACCCTGGTCTGAGGATACAGTGTGGCAGGAGCTGCCCTGTTCTATTGCCCTCTAAGTTCTGGTCTGCAGATGGCATCACCAATGCTACTGCTGCTTCCCACATCTGAGATGCTCTGTTCCCTCCCTCCCTCCCTCCCTCCTTCCCTCCCTTCTTTATATCTCTTTTTAAATCACTGTGTATATTCTGCCTGGCCTGGAACTCATATAGACCATACTGGCCTTGAACTCACAGAGATCCATCTGCCTCAGCCTCCTGGGTGCTGGGATAAAAGTCATGTACAACCATGCTTTGCCCACAGCCCCCACTCTCCACAGGCTTCATAAGCTCCATTTGCAGCCATGTTGCCCTATTGGGCCCCATACTGCCTTCAGTTACAGTGGGGCTGCAGGTATCAGAGGCTGGCTACACAACCCCCCTTAGCCCCCCTCCCTGTCCTGGAAGGCATCAGGAGAGTCAACCCTGTTTGGGAGGGGCCATCTGCACTCCTCTCTGGGCCTACTTATAACCCACTTCTGTAGGATGCTCAGGCCTGTGGCTGGCCAGCACCCAGTTGCCAAGGCAACCAGGCCCCTCCTGAATCCTCCTGGTTTAAAGGATTATGGGTCAGTACCATGTTTGCTTTGCTTAACGATCACATCCTCTGTCCTCTGTGAGCCTGGAAAAGGTCTTCTCCCTGGCACTCCATGCTCCTGGCTGCCCCTACCACAACTGAGCTGGGCCTGTGTCTTTCCATGCAGAAAGCTCTGGCCTGCACTGCCGTTGAGACCTCCTCTGCTGAGAAGCTGGCAGACCAAGTCGGTTCAGGATGGCACACTACCGGCAGAGCATCTCTTGCATACAGCACGGTGCTGGGCACTAGCTTACAGTAGCTAAGCAAGATCCCTGCTCCCAAGGGACCCAGGCTGATGACAGCACACTGCTGAGGCTCTTCTCAGCTTCCTTGCCTTGCCCATGCAGGTCCACCAAGGATTCCTCCCACTTATGGCCCAGGCCTGTATGACATCACAGGCCTACCTTCTGCAGAGGACAGCCACCCTGCTACATGCTCCTGTGTGTGGAATCTAGCTGAAAGGACCTACAGAGGCTCTGTGATGGTAACAGGACAGACAGGCTCCAGTGACAAGGAGACTCAAGACACGCCCTGCCTGGTAACTCCCGTTCCCAGCAAGACCAGAGGGCAGCAATCACTCCATGTACACGCCCACTGCTGTCCAGATGAATGCTGGGGTGACCGAGGGACATCAGAGCACATTCTTAGTATGAGCCTCTGGAACTGGGACCTGGGGAAATGCCTGGGATTGAACCCAGAGTCTTGCAAATGGGAGGAAAGGAAAATGCCTCCACCTGCTCCTTTAGGGTTTCTTAAAAATTTGTGTCAATGTCTCTCTCCTCTCTCTCTCTCTCTCTCTCTCTCTCTCTCTCTCTCTCTCTCTGTGTGTGTGTGTGTGTGTGTGTGTGTGTGTGTGTGTGTATACCACCACAGCTATCTGAGGGGACATGGGGCATGTGGCCAAGGCTGTTCATAGGATGCAGGGGACACATGCAGTTGGCTGTTCAGGATTTCAGCTCTATCAAGAGGAACCAGCTCTGTCTGAAAACAGCTCTCCCATGAAGCCATCCTGCAATGTGGGCTTATGGATGGTATGATGGGTTGCTGGCTTGGGGAATCTCCCAGTAGCTACCATGATTTACACCCTGGCTTTTGTTCAGGGCGGGTAATTTCTTCAAGACAAGGATCAAGCCAAAATCCCATCTGCTCTTTCTAGGGTTCAGTTGGGAGTAAAGAGCCAATCGCTGCTCTAGGATGGAGTGGAGGGCAGAACAGAGAGGAAAAGCTGGCAATGTGAAATGGAATTCTAGGCTGAAGGCTTGACCTGAGCAGTGTGTCAGACGACTGCATAGCAATAGCAACCAGCTGTTCTCTTTGCTGGAGAAGCAGCCAAGAGGAAATGGCTGTCACTACAGCATGAGGAATGGAGGTCAGACGTAAGGATGGACTTCCTGATGATGACATGGGAGCAGGCAGCAGGAATGGTGACCAGAGCAGAGACTGGCTACTTCTCTCTGCAAGGGACAATTAGAGCATTGAACCCAATAGGGTCTTGGGTGTGACAGGGCAGTCGGGGCAGTGAATGGTTTGTTGTTCCCCAGCTCAAGACACAAGATGCTCTGTCACTCTTGCCTTGGGAGAATCAGCTCCTTAGATTTGGGGGCAATGGGGGAAGGGAGACAGGAAAAGGGCCTGTCACCTTGGTGCTGTCTGCCCCTCGTCCCCAACTAGGGACAGAAAGGCCCAGTGTGACCCAGCCTGAGGCCCGCCCAGGGCCAGGCACAGTGTGGCCTTTGTCCCCAGGCCAAAGAGCCATCTGGGTCTGTCCCGTGCCGCTGGTGCCAGGGGAAGAGAAGTGTGGTGTAGGGGGTGACATCCAGCAGGGTGGCATGGGGGAGCCTGCCAGCCTGCCTCCTGCCTCCTGTCCAGGTAAGCCTCCTTGTCTCCTGGGCACACAGCAGCTGCCAGCACTTCCTGTTGGTGCAAGAGACAAGGGTGTCGCAGGGGAAGGGAGGAGGAGCCAGACCTGGAGGAAAGGGGGGCTTTGCTAGGGACTACCAGTACACTGTGACAAAGGCCAGGGGGAAGCCAGTGAGGAAGGGGAAGGTGCTTCAGTCAGCACCCACAGACATTAAGAAGGGACTGACCTGCTCAAATTGAGGCAGCAATTTCCTGGTTGTCAAGTGCATGACAGTGACCACATTACTCCTCCCTTCTAGCTGAGGTCCTCCCCAGTCCTGTCCCCTCCCTGAGCCACCTCAGTCAACAGTTAGTCAAGCACTCTACCACAGAGCCACACTCTAGCCTGGCCCTGTGCAGCCTCTGATGGGGTAAGGAGATAAACACAGGAAAACATGCGGGGTTGTAGATGGCAACAAGTGCAACCAAGGAAAATCGGGAGGAAGGAGCGATAGGGGAAGAGATGTGAGTTTTTAAAAGGGGATCAGAAGGACTCCCTGGGGCTGGAGAGGTGGCTCAACGGTTAAGAGGACTGGCTACTCTTCCAGAGGACCTTGGGTTCAATTCCCAGCACACACATGGGACCTCACAACTGTAACTCTAGTTCTAGGGGATCCAACACCCTTACACAGACATACGTGTAGGTAATACGCCAGTGCACATAAAATAAAAATAGATTATTAAAATGAAGGGCTCCTTAGGAAGGCGAAGTCTCAGAAGTAGTTCAGAGTAGAATGTAAGGGGAGCAGGGTGGCGGGGCAGGGACAAAGGTCCTGAGGCTGACCTGAGTGCTAGCCTTTGGGCAGTCCTGGGGAGACCAGGGGGATGCAGAGCAGGGAATCTTGGTGTACGAGAGGGTGTGAGCAGACGAGGGGCAAGGACCCACTGATGTCTGAATGGACTCCCTCTGACAGTTAGGCTAATAACAGACTGTACATAAGCAAGCAGCCCTGTCAGGTGGCTCCAGTAGAGATCCGAGTGAAAGACAGAGGACTGGACCCGACATGGCAGCAGTGGAGGAAGGAAGTAGTGTCTGTTTGGGGGGGGGGCATGTGTGGAAAGACCAGGAGTTGGATGGAGCGGGTAAGTTTTGATATCAGATGACCTCTGAATGGAGAGGCTGGACGAGGGAGCATCACCCAGGTAGCATCAGCACAGACCATGGTGGTTTTCAGTGCTGATTCCTCCTAACCACACAGCCCCACCCACTGTCTCCCCAATGGCCCAGGCACCAGCAGGGAAGAGGGCAGACTCTGGGGGCAAGCCTTTCAGTACACTGGAAGAGTAGACACTGAAGGAGGCAGGCCTCCTCCTCAAACAACTCTGCAGGTCACACAGGACAGGGCCAGAGCAAAGCAGGGGCAGGTCTTACACCTCTCTTGAGAGGAAGCAAGCTCCACACAGTAGCTCAGGCCAGCTATAGAGGGCCATAGTCCACCAGCCTGCTGTCCCCAGCCCAGGACAACCTCAGATACCTCCTATCCCTGTCCTGAGCTTGGGACCCTGGCCAGGAGAACATGGAGGCTGCGGAGGTTGGCAGAACACACAGGGCACTAGAGCAGCCAAGAGCAGGGGTGATCATCACTTCCTAACTTCAGAGGCCAGCCCTGAGAATCCATCAATGAACTCCTTCCAGGCACTCCAGGGGCTCCCACCTGGACAGGACTGCAGTTACCCAGCTTGCACCAAGCACTGGCAGGATTTGGGCTTTCCTTACTGGTCTCCTGGCTTACCAGCCCTGCTCAATAGGGCTCTGCCTCTAGCAGGCTTTGCACATGTACTTTGGGTCTCTTGGGTCTTCAGTTTTGTTAACCCCAACCCAGGACAGCTAGGTGCCCTGCCTCCATTGGGGCCTGACTTACTGCTTGTCCTCACACCAGGGCACTGTGGTTCCTGTGTTTTGCTGGCACCAGACAG